TAAAAATCACATTGATCGGATATTGATGGGTCGTTGAACACACCAAAATTAAATACTAAACTATACCAAATTCTATCAGAATAATGGCAAGTCCAGGTATCGATCCACAGGGACTATTGTGAAATTAAACTAATTTAATTGTTAAATTCCTAAATTAATTTTGATAAAAAGATTGGATGATCATAACCTAATTTAATAATAAATAAATTAAACTAAGGAATTAAATTATCAATAATAAATGAAATTGGATTTACTAAATTGGGGAAAAATCCTAGGGTAGAGAATTCACCACTAACCACATAATTAGGGTTTCCAATTGAAATTAATTATGCTCTAGTTTGAACGAATTAATGCTTCACAACTACAAGCTCAAAACATTTAACAAGAAAAATCATCACATTCAATGTACGAGCACGAACCATCTCATGTAATACGAATCGTTCACTCTAAACTAGGGTAGTGATACGACTCGTTCCTCGTAGCATGGTTCGTCCCATACCTTGAATGTGAAGGAATAGAAAACTCATGTATGGATAATATTCAACAATCACAGAAAGTCAAATATTCGAAGAGAAAATGAAAAATATAACAAAGAAACTTCTAAATCACCCTTCAAATGTTCAAACCTTTACATAATTTAAAATCAAAAAGAAAACAAAATAATTACATGGCTAGGGTTTCATCAAAACCCTAGAAAAGAAGACTAGCCACTCATGAAGGAGTGGAAGGAGGTAGAAGGAGAAAGAACCACCATGGGAGACATCCTTGAAGCTTTTTGTTTCTCGTCCCTTCAAAACCCTAGCCTCCCTCTTTTGGTCAAAACAACTTCCGAACCCTAATCCAGCCTTTTACTTGCCTTTTTATGCTTCCAATCTCGTCCAAACAGGTTTAAAACGTCGGTTTGACTTTCCCAGAAAAAGTCAACGCACGTGCGGGAAAGTCAACTCTGCCCAAATTCTGTCTTTTTGCTCATTTTATGCTCCAACGATGTACAACCTGATTGACACTCAACACACATAAAATATACAGTTCGACCAGCAAGTGAAGTTAAGAGATTCTAATTAACGGCCTCAATGATGTACATTTCGGCCTTAATCAGATATCGATAGCTACGTAATCAAAATAGTTTTGTATAAAAAACTAGACGATGAAAAAATAAACGATTGACAGAAATCCCATCCGATAAAATAACTATCGATATCCGATCAACATGATTTTTTACAGACATATAGTACTCAACGAGTTCTATACATTAAACGGTTCAGATTATCAAAATAAAACCCGTGGTGGACCCTTACAGACCTAACAGTACTCTGCCTTGTTTGTCATAACCTAAAAAAGTTAAAAAGTCAAAAAGTCACTATCTTATTTAACTCACATCATCTTATTTAAGTCACATCACCTCTTTATCACATCACTTCAAATCCAATCCATGCCCAACTTATGTTTCATAAAAAATCAAAAAATACACATATTTAAATCATTCAAAATAACTTTAATTTAATTACGGACCGAAGGAAAGTATGAGCCTTTGTAATTTACCCTTATAATGTAGTTAGCACTACTTTTTATGAATAATTATGTATCCTAGACTTATTGTTAATTTTCACTGCCACATTAAAAACAAGAGGACTGATTAAGACCCCCTCAAAACTCCCACCCCCACCACCCCCACACACACATCGGGGTTGGGGATTGGGAGAGAAGAAAAAAAAAGAAAAAAAAAAAGAAAAATGGACCAATCAAAAGCAAAGGGGGTCAAAAGGGACGAGGGAAAGGGGGTCTTAAACATTTTTGTAAAAACAACCAGTAGAATTGCTTTGTTGTTGCAAGTAGCACAAATTTTATAAACAAAAAATTACTCTTATTTATATCTGTCACATATTCTCAACCATTTGACAAAGATAACTTAAATGTCTCTCGTATCACAAAAATAAAAGATTTATTACATTAAATTAATTATTTTAAAAAAATACAAACATATGGTATACACTCCACCCCATAGTATTTTCCTAAACTTTAAAGTCCAAACAAGTTTTTATATTGTAACTTGTAAGATAGTTATATAATTATTTCGTTATTAACACTATTAAATGCATTATTTTTTAATGCATGTGACTAGGCATTTACTTATTAACTGATCACCTATTTAATTTTACAATAGATTTTTTATTAGCAAAATGTAGCATTTTTTTATAATACTATTTTCAACCAACTCTCGTGTTGTTTAAACTATAAATAAGATTAAATCTATTGAGTGTTGGATTTTGGATTTTAGCTAGGGTTGTTCTCTCCCTAAATTTAGAGTATCGTTCTCTAAGCCTCTCTCTTTAAACTTTCTACTAGGTGTGTTGTTGGGGTGGAGAGGAGTTCTGGCCGTTGGCCTCCTCTCTCCTCCTTCCATCATTTTTCTTTTTTCCTTTGTCTTTTTACTTAATAATATTTGAAGCTTGTTCTTTCAACCATTTTTTATGCCGCCACCACCACCACACTGCCACCAGGTCTACTACATTTTCGCCTCCATGGATCCACCTTCATCAGATCTGCTTCATTTCCTTCAGATTTCCTCTAGTCACTGATGTTGACGTCGCCTTTCCATCTTTCTGATCTTCCAGATCTAATGTTTGGCTTGAGCCCAAACTTTTACCCTCACAACCAAAACTTTAAGATCTAGTTTTAGATCTTCTCACAATCCAAAGATTGATGTTGTTTAATACATTTGTTTCACGATAGGCAGCCAACTCAAACTCAATGTTTCATCCTAATTTGCGGAAATGGGGTCTTCAGATTTCAAGTTGAAGGTTGCAATGTAATGGAATTTTGAATGCATTTAGCAACTTGGATCTAATTATTTTTAGTTTGGTTTTTTATTATTTGCTATAATAATTTTTTGTATGCGAAGGTTATGTCTCTCCTTTGTGAGGATTTTTTCTCCCCCTCTATGGAGGTTAAGATTCTTCCTCCTATGAAAGTTTGTTATCTCTTCAAGAGATTTTTTACTACTTTTATATAAGATTGATCAAATTTTTATTAGTTTTGTAATAAAAATTTTATTTCCGATTTAAAATAGAAAAAATCCACACATCATTCCACGAATTTTTCTTCGAGGGAGTTGCCATTTGGCAATTAACTTTTTTAATTGTCTTTTTTAGCTTTTTACCTATTTTTCTCATTTTGGAAAATGGATTAAAAGTCACTTCTCAACTTTTAACCTACTTCCTCTCTCACAAAAAAAAAAAAAACCAAAAAATTAGTTTTTAACAATCTTCCCAAAATACCCCTTTAGCTTGGAACTACAAGTTTCTTTAGTTTGACTTTTTTGGTCTTTTTGACTTTTATGAGAGAGAAAATAAAATAATTATGATTTGAATATAATATTTTGTTTTATTAACTTATTTGCTATTTATTTGGGATAACCTACAAAAGTTAAAAAGTCAAAATATTACGGGTGTTTGGCAAGAAAAAAAATACCCTAGTTTAGGCTAAAATTCACAAAAAGACAAAATAGGCTAAAATAGCTAATAAGATAAAATATCACATCAAATCCATAATCATTTCATTTTTTCTCTCACAAACATCACATCCAACCACAAAAAAATCCAATCATCTTCCCAAACACAAAAATTTTAGCCTACTAAAATAGCCAAAAATTAAAATAGCCTACTAAAATAGCAACTTCTCAAACGAAGCCATAAGTCAAAAAGTCAATACCCTTTGGGGGAAGCTTGTGAGGGAAATCTAGAGGGCAAAATTATTATTGTGCCCTTTGCATTCAGCTATCCAAAAATCAAAAAGTCATCAACGGTAGAATGGTCATTTTGATTTTACAATAATATTTTATTACATATCTTTTCTTAAAAAGTCAAACAGTTATCTTAAACATATATCTTTTTTCTCTCTACTTTTTTAACTAAATAGTTAAAAAGTATATTTATATAACACATCTCAAACAACTCTTTAATTTATTTTGTCTTTTATACTTTTTTTTTTTTTTTTTTTTAGCTTTTTTTTTTTTTTTTTTTTTTAGCCAAAAAATCTAACCAAACAACTCTGGTGGTTTAGTTGGCAATTTAAAAATATATAATATTCTTTTGGTATTAAAGTGGAATCAATTGAAAACTCCTGATGGCACTCTAGAGCCGCCACCCCGGTATATTCCTACGGCCCTGACTAACCATAAGCTTAGAGCCGTTGATTTTTGTTTGACTCATTGTTGAGATGTTTATATTTTGAGAGTACTAGCCTAGTTTAGAAATATATTATTTTAATAATTTTTAATTTTTTATAAAAAAAAAGTATATGTAAAAGATAAAAATAGTTATATAATAAATTATAATAACTTTTTAACTAATATACTTAGTTTCTAAACGAAACCTAAATGTTAAAAGTAATCTCTAATGTTGTTGTTTGTGTTAAAAAAAATGTGTAAAAGCTATTTATATAAAAAAAAGTGCAATATTTTGAGAGTATTAAATGTTAAAAATAGTCTCTAGCTTTTTGTTTGTGTTAAAAAAATGAGTAAAAGCTATTTATAAAAAAAGTACAATGAAATATGTAAAAGTGTTTTAAAATATGTAAAGAATGTATTAAAATTACCAATATTTTGATATTTTATTTTTTATTTATCGTCTTTAAAATTGTCATTAGCAAGACTCGTTATAAATTACTTAGTCACTTTGTGATGTGACTCCTCACCTACTATTGTACATCGTGTAACCAATATATATATATATATATATATAAAATAAGGAAATAAGGTTTTTAAAAATATATAAAATGTCTTGCAAATACATTTTGAACCAATGGTTTAAATTATCTCATCTCAACTTCAATGGTTGAGATGTCTTTATTTCCCGCACAAATGTTCTTTGAGCATCAACCGAGATTTAGCGGTCCAAAATGTAAATTGAAAAAATGAACAGTAGGAGTCGAGTGTTCTGTAAATCTTTCTTGGTACCTTCACTCGCTTCGACTGAACTCATTCGATTCAAGTTTTTCAGAGCTCGAACTTTCTCATCCAACCCTTCTAGGGTTTTTCGAATGGCCACCGCGCCTCCTTCTTCATCCTCTAATGGCGATTCATCCTCGGTCCCCGCTTCTTCTGCCATCGATTTTCTCTCTCTCTCTGTCACCGTCTCAAGGTATTTTTGTTTAGATATGTATATATGTATGATTCATTTGAGTGTTGATTGTTTTGGACTCGAATATCATTGCCTAAATTTGTGATTTTGTTTTTTGGGTTTGGGGGTTTTTTGAGGTTTGATCAGACGACGAAGAGAACGGGATGGATGCGAAGGTGTTGAGAATCCAGAGTCCATAGCCGATCATATGTATCGAATGGGGTTGATGGCTCTCATTGCCTCTGACAGACTTCTCTCTAACATCTCTATATATGGTACTACGAATATGTATGTATAGATGAAGTGTAGAGATGCAAAGTTGGGAATAAATTTGCAGCTCATGTGTTTCTCCTCTCTAACAGGGCATGGTATGTGTAGAGTAATATTTTGCAATATTGGGGTTTGTGTTGGGTTAATCCCTGCAATCTTTAGGGATTGGTGGTTTAGTGGTTTGAACTAAAACATGAGGGTTTGAGAACATAACCTGGGAATTATTGTTCTACTAGGTTTTATGGAGCCTATGATTATTAAAGAATGAAGAAGTTTTCAACAAGAAGCTGATCCCCTGGATTGATTTACTGGAGATAATTGGTATTAATGTGTTTTGGGTGTCTTTTTTCAATTCCCTCTCAATTTGTCCATTGCAATGTCTATTATTATTATTATTATTATTATTATTATTATTATTATTATTATTATTATTATTATTATTATTATTATTGTCAATAAATTACTTTTTTTTATAATTAAAAAAAAGAGTATAGATTTATGAAGGAAAAAGAGAATGAAATTGCTTAGTTTAGTTGGCTGATTTTGTGAGAAGTTTATATTCTCCCTTTACCTCATTGTAGGTGTGGTGATTGCAGTAGGAGAGTGTCTTCCATTGCCAGAAGAGAACCCCTTGGGAAGAGGAGACTTGGTTTGCCAAAAAACAAAAAAACCGGTGCCATTTTTAGGAGCAGCAAGGAAAGTGTCACAACAGTGACCCATTCTCCTCCTGCTATATCTACACACAAAATGAATCATTTATAGTGACTAAAAATTGGTCATCAAAGGATATCCAGAGTCCAAGTTAGGGTTTCTGTTGCTTTTAGTTTTTTTTGTGTTCCATCTGGGTTATTTGTTATTGTTGCATTTTCTAAAGATTTTAACATTTTTTGCTTCTTTTTTTTTTTTTTTTCCAAACGTCAGGTGTATAAAAATGGCAATTGTCCATGATATTGCAGAAGGTAATAGCTTTGCATTTAAATTTTTATTTATCTATTAGTTCTCATATGTATCCTTTGGTTGATAAAGTATGCTTCATAAAAGAAAAAGGGTTAATTACACTTTTATCTCCTTCACTATCACCATTGTTTTTTAGTTTGTCCGTAAACTATCATGATTTGAGCTCATTTGTCCGTAAACTATCACCATTTTTTTTCCCTTTTAGGCTGCTTAAAATTCAGACATTTTTATGCTTTTTATTTATCAGCATGAGGCTGTGAGTTGTGGGTTCCTCAACCTTGAGGTTGTGGTTTCGAGGACAACCATTTAGTGCAAATAATGCCAAAGCTAGGTAACCCAATCTATCTCCTCCCAGACCCCTATCCAACGGAGACTAAATTGGGCTTACTTTTTTTAAAATTTATTTATAACCATGAAAAAGATCACTCTTTGTGGAGTCAATGCAATGCATAACAACTTTCAAAAGGTTGCCAGGAATCTTAATAGATGCAGAACATGGATGCATGGTCAATGAATGATGTAGTTCTGCTGGAGTTGGATGCTTAATCCATTTTTGTGTGTGTGTGTGTGTGTTTGGAAAATGTGATGGGCATTTGCTTCTTATTCAGATTTATCAGATTTCTGCTTTGAGATTTAGAATCCTTCAGTCCTATTTACAGCAGTTGGATTGTGAAGTACCTGGTCAATTTTAGTCCCATTTTATCTTTATTCCCTAACGTAGTAAACACAACCATTACTAGATTTTGTAAATTTTACGTGCTCTGTTATTACTAGGGAGCGAATGAAAAAGATTTTACTCTGGTTTTAGTTGTTCCTAGCAAAGTTATTTCTTATGATCTCAACTCCAAGACATTGAAGGAGCTTCGAGATTGTTCGCCAGAGGATCTTGAAAATTGGGAAGCATCTTGGTGATATGTATCCATTCATTTAAAGCCTATCACCTGTTTGATCAATGTCCTACATTTTTCAGCAGATAAGTCCCTCAATAAACTCTTCTAAATTTCTATCTTCTTAAAAGTTTTAGTTAGTTTCCTGGTATGTGATGCTACTACTATTATCTTTTAATTTATAGATTCTGTTTTAAGCTTGCATTAGAAATAAATTCTTCATTGATCAATTAAGGCTGAAATACAATTGATGTGTATAGTTCATTTCACAATTTACTTCCCTTGCTTCTAGAGGCTAGAGAGCATCAACTTGATTATCACTTTTGAAAGTGCTTTATGTTAGAGCCCTATTTTGACCTCTATTATACATTAACTCAAGTATCACTTAGATTGTTCTGATTGCCAAAGAGATTATGTTGGACTCATTCACTCCATGGTCAGTAGCCAAACTATAGAGGGATTGGTGGAAGCCACGATGCTGCCCATTTTCTATCTAAATCTCTCATATACAGGTTAGGAATTTTATGATACATATCCCTTCAAAAGTATGTACCATATCTCTCAATTATGAAAATTTGTGGTTTTAGTTATAAATCATGTTGGTACTTAGTTATGAGCTTTGTGCCAGTCAAATTTATAATAAAGTTGGTTATGAGATTTTTATTTGGACTTAAATTAGTTTTCGTTATGATACCTTTTTTTAATATTTGGTTATGAATCCAAGTTGCCTTATGTGAGGGTTTGTGGTGTTTTGCTATGAATTGAAAGTGATCTTGGTTATGGATTTTTTATTATGATTCAAATTGGTTGTAGTCATGAATCTTTGTGGTTAAAATTTTAGGTACAAACCATACGCACTTTTGAAAGGTGTCTATAGTATCACTTTCTTACAGTTTAATATATATTTCCGGTAGAAGCTAATACAATAGGCATCATTCCCATAATTTCTTAAATCTTTGCAGCGGGAAAGACTATGTACACACCTCTCAAAATGTTTCTACTATATGCACCTTATAATTAAAGAAGAAAATGGTATAACTTTATATTTAAAAAAAAAAAAAATCATGACCGAACATCACATGAGGCTTAACCAAAGATCTTATGAGTCCTAACTAAAATAATACATATTTTGTATAGTCAAGTTAGACAACCATGGCTTTAAATACCTACCCCCCCCCCCCCCCCCAAAAAAAAAAAAAACCATGGCTTTAAATTTTTATTCTGTTAACTGTTAGGATTTGAATCTTTTTCAATTAATTGATTTTGAAATTCATGACTTAATTGGCCATTGTTCAAGCTTTAATTAATCTCATTAGCGAATGTCTTTTTATTTTCTTAGAATTCTCCGTTAATATGATTTCAAATTTTAAATTTTTTCCCCCATTTTTTATTGTTTCAATTATGAAGTTGTTTTTGAATTCCATGTATTATTTATAGTAATTTTGTGTTTGGTTTTAGATTTTGATATCTGCATTTTCAACTCTACTGTACAATAATTTTTCTTATCAAAATCATATCATTGATCTACAGGTAACATACTATTAGCTTAATGAAGAATATTAAATACAAAGTTCCAAATTGAAATTGTATTTGTGTTTGTGTTGGAAAAATTAAACATGTTTGATTTCTGAAATGTGAAATGGGTTTCATTTTCAAATGTGTTTTGATTTTTGAAATTGCTTTCACTTTAATTTTTCTTTTTAGATTTAAGTATGAAAGATCTTTTCTCCTAAAATCAATGCACAATTTTATGTTGAGTTGGAGTGTTGTAGAGAAATTATCAGTTCATGTAAAGATGACGGAGGCATTGGAATTTGGTGAGGAGAATAGTTCTAAAGGCTCTATGAATAGAGGTAACTAAGATTCCATCTTTTTTTTGCTTCTATTTTTTATTTTTTTGTACATTCATGTTGTAAGTTGATGACTTAATCTTTTACTCGATTTCCATAGTTCAAAGACCAACTTCTTCATGTCACTTGGCATAAATTACAACCTATTTCCTATTATTTTAATTAAATTTATTGTTATTCATTCCATTGTAAGGATTTGGGTATAATTTTGCAATAATTGAAGTTCAAAATAATTGATTGAGCCACTACATAATTTTTGCTACTACAATGTTCACCAAATGCTTGATAAATTGTTTAATAAAAAACCATTTTCATATGTTCGCCAAATGCTTCATAAATTGTTTCTCTATTTGATTTGTTTAATGTGTTTGTTAATTCACAGGGAATGAAAGGTGAAAGGAGATTGATCGAATGATCAAACTTTTGGTTTGGGAAAAAGTTCCCCTCTGCTAAACTTTTGACTGGGGTGAGAAAAAAGTTCCCTTTACTTGATTGGGTTAAATTTATAAATTTATCTATTTTTTGGACGATGTTCTCTTTACTAATTATTTTTATTATTATTTATTGTTTTGGGGAAAGACCAAAAAATTAGCAATTTTTTTGTTTTTTGTTTGCATTACTTCTAAATAGTTTGAATGCTCTCAATTGGATCTTAGTTGTGAGTTTATGAAATCTTTCTTTTTAGATTGTGGTTTGAAGATTTTTGAAACGGACGCTCCTTGCATTGTGGTGCCATAGATATCCATGAAAGGTTATCAAATAAAGAACCTTTTTCTTGGTCAATAAATCTCTCTTTTCCATCTATATGGATTTGTCTCTGTTAAACATTTTTTTGATATATAGTAGTTTCCTAGGTGGACGTTACATGTGTCTGGGTGCATAAAATATTTGCTACATAAATTAAAAAACAGTTAGGGTGTGTAGGATGGGGGGGAGTAGAGATGGAGGGAGGCAAAAAGTGAAATGGTGTTAAACAAATTGCTTCTTGAAAAATTATCTACGTAAATGCTGAATTTCATGTCTCTAAAAGACTGCTCAATGTTATAAATTAAATATATTTGTTGAATCATTAGTGCTTGATGATGGAGGGAGTCATTTATAAACATTAGTGCTTGATGATGTGTTTATGACCTAAAATCTAATAATGTGTTTAGAACTTCTGCAATTAGTGCTTGATGATTTTTGCTTTTGCAATTATTATAAATAGTGTTTGATGTTTTGAGATTGGTGTAATCCATAGACACATATGCTTGATTGGAGGGTTAGTTGATTGCCCAAAGAGGTGATTTTCTTGATTAAGGTTTAGTTTCCATTTTTTTTTCCCTTTCTATTTTTCTCTTTCTCTATAATTGGTTTATTAATTAAGCTTTAGCAAAAGAGAAGTGTAATATGCAAAGTTTGAGACTTAAGCTTAGGAAAGTGAAATGAGTGTTGTAACTATATTCATGAGCCTTAAGTGTAATATATTCATGAGTTCGCTAATCATACATTTTATTTAACTAATTGATACATTTTTCCTGCTAAACTTTGGGCTTTGATACACTTCAATTTTGCACAATGGGGGTGAGCAGCAGTATACTATTTTTCTTTCCATGCCTTTTCTTTTAAAACATTAGAGATGGTTTGTTAATATTGCAATCACTGAGATTTTATTCTTTTCTAATTTTAGCTGAAGTTCAAATGAGACCAACCTCTTCAATTAGAACAAGAAAGATTGATAACTTGGGTAAGAATAATAATGTTGCAATAAGAAAGGAACAATTTTTTCCGAAATTATTTTGTGAATAATTTTTCATGTACCACATAAAAGATTGAACAAGAGAAGATAATCCCAATATTATTTCCTCCGTGACTTTAGGCATGGGCATACACTAGTATATATATATATATATCACTAATAATTTATTTTTTACATAATTTCTCTTGTGTATAAACAAAACACATAATCTAATTAATTCATAACTATAAACTATATATATATATATATATATATATTTTAAGTATTTTGATTGTACTTAAAATTGGGTCTCATGTCCCATTCGGATTCCTCTTGTTACATGACAAATTTCACTATTTATTAAGTATGATGGATCTTATATTTACATATGACATTAATTGAATGAATAGTAAGGTGCATGATTGAATCAAATACGATAATAAATAAAATTTCTTTACTGATAAATTACATGAATAATTCTTAAAGAATAATATCTATTTCATTTTGATCCTTAATATTTAATTTGTATCAATTGCATCAATATACATTAATTCAATATAGTCTCTTCCTTTCAGTAGCTTAAAAGAAAATACGAAAAATATTTGGGCCAACCTTACATTAGGAATTCAGAAGGGTTAACGCGTTCAAAAGAAAAAAATAAAAAATAAAAAATAAAATAAGAAAAGGATTAACAGGCATTTTAATATGTTTATTATTTATACATAATATTTCAATCAAATAAACAAACACACTATATAGTTGGTTATGAGTACTGGAGTATAAGGCTTGACAAAATTAGTGAAACATCTCTCTAACTTTTGGTAGCAAGAGAGGTCTAATATATTTTTTTTATTAGATAAGGTCCCTCAATAATATTATTAGAGAAATTTAAGCTCATCATAGAGAAATTAGTGAAATTTCTTTGTGACAAGTTGAAATATGTAAAACTGTAATTTCTCTGTGAAATTTTTCTTTAAAGAGATTAAATTTTTTTTGTGAAAATATTGAGTGACCCCAACTACTTATTTAGTACCACAAAAAAAAAAAGAAGAGACAAATTACCACAAAAAAAAAAAAAATTACCTTAGGGTTTATAACAAAATAGATACTAATTTTATCCCCCCCAAAAAAATCAACCAAACAGAAAAATAGTTCAGATTAAAAGTAAATCAAAATATTAAAATTTAAATTGATAACATTAAAATCTTAACTTTTATTTTATTATAATGGTCAAATTTTGCATTTTTTTTTTCTGGTTTTAATTTTTCAAAAAAAAAAGTATTATTTTTTTCACCAATTAAATATTTTAATTTATGAAAAAAAATTGAAAAATGTAACACAATTTTTTTTTTAATTTCTTCTTTTCTGTTAAGAAAATAAAAATCTTGTTGTTAAGGACCCACATTGTTACATTGTTGACCTATCCTAGTACCGTACGGGTGCGTTTGTTTGAACGGACTGGATAAGGCGGATTGTAATCTATCGGACTATTAGTCTTGGGATACATTGTCTTGGGACTATTTGGTTGGATTAAATTTGTATTTTATGTTTGTTTAGTTATGTGCTTAGATGTTTGAATTGAACTATTTTTAGTTATCCAATAGTTGTTTGGAATATTATGGAGAAGGATAAATGCTCAAATGACTATTTTATCCTTTTTAATTATTTACTAAGTAATAGTAAATTTTCAACAACACTAAAAAAATTTAATTTATAAGGCCATAATTTATAATTTATTATTTTAAAATAAATTTAATTTATAATTTATATTTTTTATTTAATATATAATTTTAAATTAACGACAATAAAAAATAATTTTATTTAATATATAAATTAAATTTTCAACAACACTAAAAAAATTTAATTTATAAGGCCATAATTTATAATTTATTATTTTTAAATAAATTTAATTTATAATTTATATTTTTTATTTAATATATAATTTTAAATTAACAACACTAAAAAAATAATTTAATTTAATATGTAAATTTAATTTTTTAACAACACTAAAAAAATTTAATTTATAAGGCCATAATTTATAATTTATTATTTTTAATTAAATTAAATTTATAAATGTTCGAAAGACTATTTTATCATTTTTTAATTGTTTGCTAAGTAATAGCATAGAGGGTAAAATAGACATTTCACAAAATATTCTCATGGGATACCAATCCTATAGTTTCTATCCCACCTCCCCATGGGATAGGATAGTCCCATATTTGGACTATTAGTCCGAAACAAAAAAAATAAAACAAGCAATAGACTATTAATCCGATAGGACAAATAGTCCAAACTCACCCCCTAATCATTCAAAACGTGTGCTATAATTACCCAATACTTTTTTTTTCCTATTGCTTTACATCACTTCCCCCAAATAATTTACTCTTCAAATCAATCCCTTATTTTATTTTTTATTATCTTAAAATATTAATCTATTTTTTTATTTTTTATTATTTCAAAATATTAATTTATTCTTAAAATTCAAAAAAATAAAATAATATAAATTTATAATTTTATCTTTCTTTTTAATTTATTAATAATAAAAAAAATACAATTAGGACATTTTATATTTTAAAAAATATACCATCAAAAGGATAATTTTAATATTTTAATATTTTTAAAATATAATAATTATATTATAGAAAAGTTAGATTTTTTTTTAAAAAAACAATTATTTTGAGATTGAATGAGTAAATTGAATTAAGACCTTATACTATACATAAATTAAGGAAAAACTATTCAATATTTTTAGAATATTACGTGTATGTACTTCCTAATTAAATATTATTCAATATACCTCGCATGTTTTAATCACCTAACATAATACCTCACTTACATATATTATCCACCAATTATAATATTATAAAATATCACGTGTTCACACTTTGAAATTACTGAATAATTACTTAAATTGAGAAACTATACTGCTTTTGTTTGGCATACCAGACTTTTTAACTTTTTAATTATTTTAGTTATAAAATGATAAAATAAACTTTTTAATTCAATAAGACAAACACATCATATTCAACCCATAATAATTTTATTTTTTTCTCATAAAAATCAAAAAAAATAAAAAGATTTATCCCAAACAAAACTTTTTTACTGAAAAAAAAAAAAAAAAAACCACGTCCCAAACCAGCCCACCTTTGGAATCTCTCAACCTCTGACTCTTCTGGTTCCTCCATTTCTCTTCCTCCATTGCTTTCATCAACCCTTTTTGAGGGTTTCTTTTATCTCCATTTCAATCTCACTCAATTTCCTTCTCTCAGTAACACCATATTCTAGGGTTTCACAATTCAAATTGATGATATTTTGTGGACGAGCTTTGTTGGGAGGAACTCAATCATAGCCGATTGGACTTGAAACTTCGCGGAACTCACTTCGTTAAAGGGTCTCTATGGTAAGTAACGTCTGAATTTTCGATGTTTTTGGAATTAAAGTTCCATTCTTTTTCTATCCTGGTGCTCTGTGAGGCAATCTGATTTGTGACTTTTATGCTTGAATGTACAGTGTTTGTGAAATTTATATTTGGTTAAAATTGATTTCTTATGTAACCCACTTGATTTATCTTCAATCGTTCAAGTTGTGTAGTTTAATTCCCTTCATAACACAACTTCTGATCTGGGTTATGAATTTAAAATCGTGATTGTTGCCTTGTATTGTTGTCTTTGCTTGCCCTAGGGTTTCGGGTAAACGAGATTTGCAACACCCAACTTGAAATAGCTAAGACCTATCAAGAAATTGAGGGTCTACATCGAGAAAACACAGCAAATTGTTATACAGGTCAAAATTTTGAACCTATCACTCTTCTGTTGGATTCTGGTTTCTTTGTTTCGTCACGATGGACGATGGGGAGATTGATTTTTCAAACCAAGACGTGTTTTCAAGTCCAAACATGGGTGAACTCCCAAGCAGTTGCTCTATGGATAGCTTTTTCGATGAACTTCTGAAGGATACATGCACTCATACCCACACTTGCAACCCACCAGGCCCTGATTTCTCTCATACACACACTTGTTTTCATGTGCACACCAAAATTGTGCCTGCCCCAACTGAAGATAAGGTTTCCACCGATGATACTGCAGAGTCCTCGGAAAAGAAATCAAAGAAATGTCCAACAGGTAATCGTGAAGCAGTTCGCAAGTACCGCGAGAAGAAGAAGGCTCGCACTGCATCGTTGGAGGATGAAGTTGTGAGATTGAGGGCTGTGAATCAACAATTGGTGAAGAGATTGCAAGGTCAGGCTGCATTGGAGACCGAGATTGCAAGGCTCAAGTGTTTGCTTGTGGACATCCGAGGGAGGATTGAAGGGGAGATTGGATCTTTTCCTTATCAGAAGCCTTCCAAGAATGGTGATATGTATCAAAACCCGGTTAATCCAAACTTGCCTGGTGCATACGTGATGAGTCCATGTAATGTACAGTGTGATGATCAGGTTTACTGCCTTCAACCAGGGGCGGAAAGCAAAAGTGGGGAAGATGCATCGATAAATGGTCAAGGCTTCAGTGGTTGTGAATTTGAAAATCTGCAGTGTTTGGGGAACGAGAATGCTGGACTGAAGGAGTTACCTGGCTGTGGACTAGGGAATGGAGCTTCAACAGTCAATTCTTCTGGTGCAAACAAGAGAAAAGGTGAAATTTTGGTTTCTTTTTTATTTTATATTTGTGGGTTGGTCTGGTTGATAATAAATACATATGATTTGCTCCTTGTTCTTGTGTCTGTTTGTAATCAGTGCTTATTAGTTATCTCAATGTTTGATATTCATTAAGATTTTTTTGGTTCCTAACTAGAAGCAGACTTGATTTTCACAATTATACCCTGTTGACTATCTTAAAAGCATGTTTTTTCTATTTGAAAATGCTTTCTTTGCCACTTTTTTAGCTGCCTGTAGCTTATTTCAGGGGCAATGCAAATGGTTCTTAGTGATTTAATATAGTTTTAGAAGAGTCTTATCCTTCAGAGGCAGCTGTGACTTTGGAGTGATGATGATTTTATCTGAGACTTTGCAATAAGAAGTGCTAGTATTAGAGTTTCATAATTCTGCAGTCTGTCTTCTTGTATTTAGGCCAAGTTTGGGAACACCCCAAAAAGTCAAAAAGTTAAAAAGTTACTCAAAAAGTTAAAAAGTTATCACTATTCACCAAAAGTCAACAATTACGGCTGCACAACTCCCAATTCTAATTTTCTCCTACAAATCAATTTTTACAATTTTTTATTACACATTTTTCCATAAAAAGTCAAAAAGTTAACCCAAACATTCATATTTTCAATCTCAACTTTTTAGTCTAAAAAGACAAAAAGTGCACTTATTTAGTCTTCCCAAACGTGGCCTTATTCATGACAAAGAATGCTTTTTTATCTGTATCTGTTATAGTTTCAAACTTTCAACTTTCAATTAGTCTGTGTTTTCCATGACAATTTTATGTCATTTGTTAGCAACAATACTTGAAATATGATGTTATATAGTTACTTTGGTTGACTATTTATGAAAATATATATAGTTGCCTATGAAGCACGGGTGTCGGTACAGGTATGATACGGGTACGATGATACGCTAAAATCTAAAAAAAGTAAGGTACGGGTACGGTTAAAGTACATCATTTTTTTTTAATTTAATTTATAGCTAAACATGCCACCTACAAATCGAAGTTCAAAACAATAACTAACCAAACCAAACCAAGCCTTAAATCCCATCAAATGGGGTCGGCTACATGAAAAGAGAAAATACAAAACTAAAAATAAATTAATATTCAACAATACCAATACAATACTAAAGTAAAATCCTGAACTTGATGAACTCATATTCCTAAAACCATTAAGACAATAATTTGTGAATTCTTTCACTTCATTCAAGTATATTTTCAAATACTCAAATAACAATTTAAAAACATCAATATTATGAAAGTAACAATGAAACATCAATATAATTTTCAATATTATTAATTTTTTTTTTATATAATTCTAATTGTCTACTACGTATACAACAATAAGTAGATGAGGGCAAAGTTACTCAATAAAAGTAAAGAGTGGGTGGTTCCTAATTACCTAAATTTTTTGAAGATGATTAAAGAGGTATAAGGCTGTAGAGTTGCATCAAATTCCAACTTTTGAAGAAAAAAATAATAAAAAAATAAAAAACAATCAGCTGTTGTGGAGTACCCACCCGATAACCATGGAGTACCCTTGCCGTACCGAACTTTCCCATACCGTATATGACATGCCCCGTATGTATACGGCGTACCCGGTACGCGTACCCCCACCTGGTAAGTACCCAATACATATACAGCAACATTTTTGGAGTACTTGTGCTTATATGCTTCAATTGAGTAGCATTTTGCAATATTGGTGACCAAACTGCATGGACCTCCTATGGCCTTGTTATATGAAATTCAGCTTTATATACATATATGTATATCTTGTCTTCATCACTTTCTTCTTAAAAATGTGTTTATGATTGGACTGATATCTTGTTTCATTTTCCTTTGTAATTTGTGTGGTGTTGAATAGAGTGTTGGCTGATAGTTCTCTTGTTAGTGGATAAATCTTGATGAACAACTTAAAATTGGAAAAATGTGGACTTTATTTATCTCATAAGAGTAGAAATTGGGTAGAATTGCCTAAACAATAAGCAGAATAGACTTTTGTTCTCTCAGTTCCAACTGTGTAGTTGTCAGCCCCAGTCCCCATATGGTTATACATATTCTTTCATATATTGTATGTATGGTTAATTACAGTAATAGTTTTTCCACATATGCCTCATAATTTTTTAGGTTATAGATTTCAGCTAAATTTTAAATTTGTCAAAGGGTGACTTCTTCTGTGGGTATGATATTAACTTTCAACATTGTATTTATTCATTTTTCAGTTGGTTTCTCCAAGTATTTTTTACTTTTTTTATTCTGTGGATTATATGGAGTCAGTTTCTATAAATTAATTAAATTATTTTTTCAACCCAATCTAAGCATCACACTGAGTTTGTTGCAGCTTGTTCGAGGTGAGAGCCTCAAGCCCAGTGGAACTTGGCAGTCAATTTATTTGGACTGTAAGGTTGGGCTTTGGTCTGTTTATGAGAAAAGAACAAACAAAGACAGTAAGTTAAAATTTGTAATTGCAAAAGAAAATGTATAAGAAAGATTTGTACATCTATAGATTATGTACTCTTAGCTTGTGGTTGGATTTAGGATTTGAAGAGGGATTTGTGGAGGAAAAGGAAAGGAAAAGGGATACGTGACAAAAATTTAGCTTTTATTTTATTCACTTTTCTTTTCCTTTTTTCTTTCTGTCTGCAATGTCCTCCTCAAATCTTTGATCCAAAGACAGTCTTGCATGGATTGAGGTCCTTGTTTGGTCCATTTGGTATTTTCTATTATGTTACTTAAATTTCTACCACTTGGCAAAATTCTGACAGTTGTGTGATATACAACTGCAAGGTAAATAGATGAATCCCGAAAAAGAGCTACAAATGACCCTTGCATTTGTAAGATGTCCACAAATTATTTCTGTATACTATGAACCAAATATTCTTTGTTGACTTCTTTCCATTGAGAACAACCGACCCTTTCTTTTTGTTAAACAAGAGCATGTATGAACTTGAATGCAGTCTGAGGGGTTGACTTTCATTTGCATTCTTATAACTAATCATTTGGCATTTCTTCTATTAGGAGGGACTCGTGCAGCAAGGTGAAGAGCTAATCAGATGGAGATTTCTTTATTCTAGAGGATACACAATCTCTCTCTATAAGTGGTTTTGCTGGAGTTCAGTGATATCTTCCCCTCAGGTCATCGTGTGTTTGAGTGTTTTTACTTCTCTACCCTGCTGTCGGGTTCTATAGCTAGCTGCATTTCTTATTTATTATGTGAGGCTCAACGTTAGCTACTTTTTACTGCTTTTTGTGTTGATCGTTGTTCAGTTTATGAACTCAATCTCGGTTCTATATAAATAATGTGTTGTGAAGTAGAATGCTTAATGGGACAGAGTAGGTTGTAGGACTTAGCAGCCAGTGTTGTGATTGATGGAGGCAACTAATGTGGGATTATTGATGGCCAATGGTTAATAATAATAAGAATGACAGTCCATAAGACTGTCAATAAGAAATTGGAAAAACAATATGATATTAGATTGCAAGAATGTGGATTGATAAGGAAGAAATGATAATTGTCTTCAAAGTGGTTTTAGTAGTAGTTGCCTTGGCAAATCATTCAGAAAGTGATTCTTCACTATTTAATCATTTGACTTTTATTCCAAGTGGAAAGAGATTATTTGCTTCATGGGTTTACTTTTGCCCCCTTTATTATCATAATTTTAAGGACAAATTACATATACCTCCCTCGAAATTTAACTAAATTACAGATACCCTCTTGAGGTTTCAAAAATTAAAGATACCCTCTTGAGGTTTATATTTTCATAATAAATTGCTCCATGAAGTTTATATTTTCATAACAATTTACCCCCTAATTTGTTATGCAAATAGTATTTTCAGGGGGTATACGTCTCAGGAGGGTATTTATAATTTTGCTAAACTTCAAGGGGATATATGTAATTTGTCCTAATTTTAACAATAATAGAGTCATTCTACAATAAAGGTTTCTTAACATTCTTCACTTTTTAATCATCGACTTTTATTCCAAAATGGAAAGAGATTGTTTCTTAATGGTTTTACTTTTATAATTTTAACAATAAAAGAATCATTCTACAATGCACATCTCTTATTGGTCATTTTGTGCGCAACCCCTCAATTTGAAGTTGATGCCTGTTTTTTACGGTGATTGAGCATCTCTAAATAATTGTAAGTCTCTCTCTCTCTCTTCGGGTAATTGTAACCATACTTTTTTTTTCAACAATACTGCGGACCACTAAATTTCTATCATTAACACCACCACTAATGATGTGGCAAGTAAAAAAAAAACAAAAACTAAAACACAACATGTGGCAGTGGGTGGAATCCACAGCCACATCCTTAGTGCAACACTAATTAGTGGTCTGCATCATTTTTTTTTTTTTTTCCTCCTTCACATAACAATCAAACAGAGAAAAATAATTGTACTTTAAACTTGTTTTCTTGTAGCTCATCATATGCATGACCAAAAATGCTTAGTGGATGGTAGATTAAATTGATTAAATTGAAGTTTACTCCTTTGTCCAGAGGCCACCAATTTTGAGAAAGGCCCAGTCAACCAGCACGCAAGCAAAACCAACTTTGAGAAAAATATGTTTAAAAAGCGACAGTGTTAAAGGGTTTCAAGTACAACAATATCCTAGGCTGAAAGATGCATACTAATATCCTTTTACACTTGAAGCTTTTATCTAGAGGATGATGTTTTGCCTTCATCATCATCATCATCGTGATAAATACTTTCGGCCATTTGCCAGATTTGAAGCGAATTGTCTTCAGCAACACTCGAAATAACCCATGGTTCATTCTTGTTCCATGAGAAATCAGATATCTTTGCTTTGTGACCGCCATGAGAAAAAAGAAGCTCCGGTGGGCCGTCTTCAGCTTCTCCTTCCAACTGCTCATCCCCAATCCTAAAGGCAGTGATATATTAGTAAGATGATATCAATATACAGACAAGTATCTCACTAAATTAAAAATAGAAAAATAAAACCAATTCAGTGATATTCACAAAATTTCATTGACAATTAGAACTGCACAACTTTGAAATATCAGTTGCAGTGACAAATGTGAAGCCATCATGGAAAACAAAGCTTATCCAAGAAATTTCTGATTTCACATCATGATTCATGATTCCTACAGTCTGATATCCATATTCATGACTTCCAACGGAACATTTAGGCATAAAACAACACAGAATACAATTCAGTGTGATCGTTTTCATTACTACTCATTGCAGATTATAATTACTACTACCAGGTGGCCCTTGATCAAGTGAGGATTGGTGAAACAGGATTCATGTAGCCAACACCAAGTAACCGGGACAGGCTTTATTGAGTTGGTTTTAGTAAGGTCCACTGATTGGTGAGCTCCAGCAGCCAAGTGAGAACAGGTCCAAGTGGGAAGGGGAAAAAAAAAAGGAAAAGAAAAGCCACTTTGTGTAAATATGCTAAAGGTTGGTCTATTTCCAGTCTATCCCTGAAACATCCTCAACTAATGAAGAGCAACACTAGATGTTAATAGCACAGAATAATGCATTTAAGCATTATATGGCTTCAGAGGTTCCTATTCATATTTTTCCTGAACTCAACTGTGTGACAATAGTCATTGAAAAGTTAGGAAACAAAAATAGTCAACTGTCAATAGTCTTATAGATGCCTGGATGGTGGTCTACTCCAGTATCATTTTCTAAGTGGCATGTGCTGTTGTCTAGTGCTTCAGTCAACTTCTAAGTGTTCCAAATAGACCACAATGCTCCATTTTGTTGATGGTGGCAGAAAAAGAACTCAAGTTTTTTATTATCTTCTCCTTGTCTTTTAATAATAGAACGGAATAAAGCCATAAATGAAATATACAAGAGAAATGAAATTAAAGTAACATATCATGATACTAAACAAATTCACAGCATCAACTTCTAGGCGTGAAATACCTGTTAAGGTCCCAAACCATCAATCTTCTGTCATCAGCAGAGGATGCCAAAACAGTTTCATGATTAGGATCCCATTCCACCTGGAATACTTCCTCCCTGTACAAATGCAATAGTTTCATTAAAGATCTAGAAGATAATAGTTAACACATTAAGGAAAAACAAACAAATGCAACTTTATCCAAAATTCAGTAATTTTTAGTGTTCATCAACTGAATAACAACCTATAATATAACAACATTTAATATATGTTACTTGTTAGAATTATCAACATAATGAATTTACATGGTACTGAAGTATAATATCTATCTGAAAGACAAAGGGCATACATGTGACTACTCAAAACATGCAATGGAGATGTCAGCTTCCGCATATCAAACAAACCAACTGTAGTATCTGAAGAAGCTGTAGCCAGAACCCACTCGTTGTATGGATTAAAAGATAGGTAGTTCACCTGGGACCAGGAAAAGAATGTTATTAGTGACAAAGCCATGAATTATCCTACTCAGAGAGTGAACAAAAATATGAATCACACAAGGGAAAGAAGAGGAGGAGTCTTCATTTCAAGATTCAGAAATAGCAATTAAAGGAAACCTAAGAAGTTTTATTTTATTTTCTTTCTTTTTGTTTCTAGTACATATTTTTCTGCATAAATAAAGGATCAGGCCTTCTGAGAATCAATGTACTATACTAACTCCTATTTTCTTTCTTCAGTTATAAAAGAAGATCCCAAAACGACAATTGGTGCAAGAGTGGTTGGGATGAATGCCAAAGGAATCAGGTGTGGGAGGGGTTTGTTCCCTAGGCACATGTGGGAGTGCCTAGGCTCAGGGTTAGACCACCACGTGTGCTATCCCTAGCCACCATAGCTTGGCCACATAGAGGAGAGCATGGAGGTGTATGGTTGGCCCATGTGTCACGTCAAGAGGCTGAGATGTGGCACCATGTTCATTGTAAATGATGTGGTGTGTGTGACAATGCCATGTGGCAGACCCATGTGTATGTATCCACATCTAGAAAATTTTCAAATTACTGATATATAATTGACCTATAAAACTTATAAGAAAATATTAAATACTGAAAACAAGCATATTTAACCTAAAATAAACACTAGTAAGACCTTATTAAGACTAATAACTTGACTATGCATGATTCTAATTGGTCTCATCATGTGAATTTGGACATGTTTCAAGCAATTTCAAACTTTATTATTAATTTTATTTTGCTTCTTCTTAATCATCTTGTGGTCTGCATCAATTAATCTTTGTTCTCCTGATGACTATTCATCAAATCCTCATAGTAACGTTTACATAATGACAAAATATCTTTTAAAGTTGGTGAATCTGAAATATCCAGTTGGAAACATTTACTGGTAAAGTTCAGATTTCAATGAATACGTTACCGAATCAACAAACAAATGAAACGAATGTCATGCCAAAACAAATTATGGTCATATCTTAAAAAGCTTCAACTTGTTAGCATTTCAGAATTCAGAATGCCTAGATGGAAGACAAGATGTGCTTCTGTAACAGAGTGGCACAATCATGCAAGTAAAATATTTCTAAAGATTTAGTTCACCTCTTTCTCATGAACTTGGACAGAATGCTGGGGTTTGTTCGTGCGCATGTCCCAAATCATTAGACAACAATCATCCCCCGCAGACCCAAATAAGTTTTCATTCTTCAAGTGCCATGCTACATCCTCAACCACGCTTCCATGAGCCTAATTCACATTGGTAAACTCTAATTCAGCATTGAACATACCATGTTGAAAAACAAAACAAACATGCACAGAACACTAACTCTTTCATCAACAAATCTAGCTCGAAAACAATCATAATAAACACAAAATGAAAAGGGTAAGAACCAAATACCTCATAAACATGTGTTGCATTGAGCACTTTATCTTGAGGCATAGCGGACACATCCCACAAACATATTTTGCAATCATTTGAACCACTCAAAAGGTAACCCTCCTTAAATTGACTCCACGACAAACCATACCCTTCTTTATCATGACCCATCAATCTCAAATCAGGCTCACAAGATCCCCCCTTCTCATTCATTGTGTGTTTGCTACAGTCAAATACATACACTTCAGATCCACTAGTCTTCGCTGCAACAAGAGATGGATTCTGAAGCATACAGCGTGCCCTATTCACTTCTCCGTCAACATATATCTTTTGTATTATCTCAACCTGTTAAAAAGAAAAAACTCATATTTTCAGCTCACAATGCCACTTGTGCAGCCTCTCTCTTTCACACACATTCATAGCAATTTTACCAAAAAATGCTAATATCCTAACAAATTATCCAAAATAGTAAATTTAGTGATCCGAAGCAATCCCAAAAGTTTTTTCCAATATATTTCTTTAAATGGTTCTTTAAAAGGAAACTTTTCAAATATAATGAACTAAAATCAAGGGTGAGTGAAGTTTTGACAAGAAAAAATGTAAAAAAATGGGTCATATAATGCTCATAGAAATGTGTTGCTACATGATAATTAGTCTAGCCCTATCGTACCACATTAAGAATATACCATATCACATTCCTATTTTGGTTTCACATACCAAAACGATCCATGTTCCAAGTAACTCAAGTTCATAGAAAACATAAACACACGTAGCATATATATACAAGATCAAACATGCATAGGTATGTCAGAAACCTGCAATAATGTATATCTTTTGTGTTATTTTTTTTTATATTTTATATATTGTTGTACAATACCAAACAATAAGTGAAGCCAACTGTCATGAGATGAGTTGTTTAGAAAATCCATGTCATTTTTAAACAAATTTCTCAAATACAAGTTGTTAAGAACTTGTTTCTCAATCTTGGGTCCAAAAAACAACCTATAAATTTTTTTGAAGTTGTCTCTTCAAAACATGACTTCAAATACTAGGGTCTAAAAATTGCACTGAGAATATGTGTTTCAAAATAATACGGGTTTTGTAAAAAAAATTCCACACCAGACAGAGGCTGATGGCACAATGCACATCTAGTTTGGTGCTAAGCTTGCTCTGCTAAGCTACCCTGCCAAGGCACACTCAGCTCAGTCACAAGCAACAAACACTCGGTGCGAATTTGGAAATGATTTCTGATGGATGTGTGACTGCTCTTTTGCTTTTTGGGTGGTGGTTTGTTCTTACCCACCTCCTCTGTTTCGTCTGTTCTTAGCTTGTTGCATTAGGCCGTGCTAGTTTTCTCTTAACCATTGTATTGTGAGTTTTAATCTTTATTCTAGATGTAAAATCTTTTGAGCATCACTGTAAAATCTATCTTTTTGGGTATAAAACTAAGAGAGCCAATGCACCAAAAAAAAAAAAGGCAATTTATTGCCAGAACGATGCTTTTCTATGGGCAATAAAAACCCGCAATCAAAATCAAATCTTTTTTTTCTACCAGCTCAAACAAGTTCAACAAAACGTATTCAGTTGGTAATTTAATCAAACACTTGGCGCGCATAAACATGGAGAGAAATAAATCACACACCAAAACACACACACACCATTGATCATCGAAAAACGTACCTTGGGAATCGCAGAGTCGTGGTCGGGATCAGTCGCCGGTGCCGTGGCCGGATTAAGGGGGAGATGAGCATCGGCGACCATGAGGAAGTTTGGGAAATCATCAGATGTATGGGTCCCTAGAATCAGCTTGTGTACAGCGAATAATCCATCTGTGGAGACGGGTAGCGGAGGCGATGGAAGCCAATGGACGGTGAGAGATGGCCATTCGAGTGAGTGAGAAACGATCAGATCGTAGAGAAGTGGAGTGTTCTTCTTCCATACCGTGAACTCCTCCTCCACCTGCTCAATCCCAGCCTCTCCCTCCTCTCCCATCTCTCTCTCTCTCTCTCTCTCTTCTCTTTCTCTCTCTCTCTGCAGCTCCGTTTTCCCGCCAAAGAAACTGTGGGAAAGTGATTATATACCGTATATGAGGATGGGTTTAGGTTGGACCATCGAGCCTGTCCAATCGGAAAAAGCCCAATCTGACTTCCAGGAGGAGGGCTTGCCCCAGTAATTACAGTACAAACAAAATATTTGAATTGACAAAATTCCCATGCTTTTGTCCAAACTATTGCCGATTTAAGCTTTTATATATATATATGTAATATTAATAATGTTATGTATTTAAAAAAGTGTCTAAATATTAATAGTAATATTATAAATTCAGACTTAATTATCTAAAAATTATTTAAAATTATCATCTTGTAATTTAAATTTATTTTACATATGAATTATATATTACACAAATTTAATCTCCATTATATAACCACTCAACTAGAAAATTTGAGTGGATAATTTTGGGACAATAGACTTATTTAAATTCAAATATGTGGATCGTATTTGATGAATATGGAATCTTGGCTTGTTTCTAAGGCCCAAAGTTGGCCTAAACCTCAAAAGGGCAACCAGCTCATCCTCGTCGGCCATTAAGGTAGGTCAACGCAATATGCGGCAAATATCCATCCCCCAAAGTTAGTTGATGACATGAAATACTTAGACGCACCAAATCAACACTATCGCCCTCTATACTTGGTACGACTCGGGTGTGCGCGGTGCGAGTTGGTGCAGTTTAAAAGAAAAATAAAAATCGTATGGCAGATGGTGGATTGATAAAAGTTTCACTAGAATTTGTCATTTTCCTTATAAGAAACCGGCTGTTCGGTTGGCAAATACTGACGGATTTACCTTGGCGGTTCGGACGGATTGGCTGTTTATAAAAAATATAATTCAAATTACAAAACTTAAATTAAAGAGTAAAAAAAAAGACGAGAGATACCGTGATGTTAAGTATCTTGCGAAGTTTTCTTCTGATACAGCAAGTGTAGCAACAACATGATAATATCAACGAGTATGCCATCAGTTCATTACAAGCATATGTGGAAGCTACAATAATCAACTACAATACATAAAATTTCTCTCGAGCAATAATGTAATACTATATTCTAAGGTATAAAACAACAAGCAAACTTAAGTAAAAAAGAATTTTTAGAATCTTATAAAACATGATTTAATAGCGGTGCGGGTCGGTGCGGTTTAGAAGAAAAATAGAAACTGGCGGATTGATAAAAGTGTTACTAGAATTTGCCATTTTTCTTATAAAAAACCAGCGGTTCAATTGACAAATAATAATGAATTTGCCTTGACGGTGCTGTTCGGTGCGATTTTGATGGTTTCAACGATATTATGCACACCCCTAAGTACGACCCGAACCTGCGAAAAACTTTACATGACTGGAGACTACCCTTGCAACTTATATTAGCTGTCAAAACAAAGAGAACGTGAACCTGTGCACAAATACTGTTGTGCATGCCCCAAGAATAGTACAACACTTGGAAACAAAGACAAGGAAAAGTGATCAATGGAACCACACTCCCATACAAGACAATAAGTTCTGGTATGCTTTGTTCGTATCACTACATTCTTTTCTCGTCTCTTTCTCTTTCTCATATAACTACTTTGTCATCAAAGGGACTTTAAAAAGAAATCCACTAGTGAGTTCTCAAGTGTTTGTGTGTGCAGGTTGAACAAGGGAAAGCCCAAGTTTGATATAGTAACTCGATTCCTGCTAGCGATATGGTTTAGCCCATTAACCCACCGTCTACTGCTTATCGTCAGTATTTATCTTCAATGCCTATTAGCCCGCCGTCTACTAGTTATTATCAGTATTTATCTTAAGTGCAACCCACACCACACCAACTTTGATTTATACCGTATATTCAAACTATGATCACTTTTTAAGATATTAATTGTGAAATTTTTTTTGTAACATTTATGATAATTATAGGATAAATGCATTTAAGAAAATTTTACATGAAGGCTAGTTAATTACGTAATTTCAAATGAATTTGAAAGTTAAAAAAAATCCATTATGCTTCGCCACCAAAAGGTACTGACCTGGTCGTGAGGGCTGACTCTATAATTTTTATTTATTTTTTTTGAACGAGCTAACTCCGTAGTAGTGTTATTACTGCCACAATAAAATAGATATGTGGGATCAAATGATTTTAGTAGAGAGAAGAATGTTGTGATTGCTCAAATGTTTCCTGTGATTTATGACATTTGCTTCTTTATTTCGGTTCTCTATCTAGTTCCTTATATGTTATCATGTTATTATTATTTGTTCTATGTAGTGGCGGAGCCACATGCAACTTAGGGAGGTCACGTAATTTTTGATTTTTTTTTTTAATATATGTATATAAATATTATTTTTAAATAAAATTTTAAACAAAAATAATATCTAGAATAGAATGTCAAGAATATTTTTAAATTTATGAAAACAATATGACTACAACAAATTATATTTTTATGTATGAAAATTTTATGAAAAAATCTCAATATAAAGGTAATATCTATCATTATTGATATGCAAATATAATTGATCTCACTACATATATGTAAAAATTACTAAGAGGGTTAGTTATATTTGCATGTAGAGTTCACCCTTCATATGTTGTTGTATTATTAATCGGTAATATCATATGTCAATAATAACGTAATATCACAATTATATGAAATTTTTACTTAAATTTTGTAAAAATTTAATTTGTCTTACCATTGTATAATTTATTTTAAGACTTACATATATGACTGTTTTTATATTGTTCATGATACACTAGTTACACGCAATACTTTTTTTTGATCTTATTCGAAATTAATTGTAAAATTTTATGTGAAATACTTTTGTAATAACTCATTTAAGTTTTTGTATTTCATATTAATTCAAAAATTATTATTATCCTCTTATTGTTGGTTATAGAAAAAAAATTAAAGTTGTAATCAAAAAGTGTCCATTATGATTTAGTTTCCTGACTCCGCCACTGTGTATCCACAAAAATAAAATAAAATAAAATAAAAAATGGGAATAAGATGTGACAGGAGGTGTTTGGCAAAGGCATTTTTTAGCTTTTTGGACTAAAATTTACAAAATGACAAAATAGACTAAAATAACCAATCAAACAAAATGTCACATCAAACCTATAATGATTTCACTTTTTCTCTCACAAATATCACATCCAATTATAAAAAAATTTAACTATCTTTCCAAACACAGAAATTTTAACCTACTAAAATAACCAAAAACTAAAATAACCAAAAACTAAAATAACAACTTCTCAAACACCCCAGTGTTATGGAACATGAAACAAAAATTGAGATCTACAGTAACGTATTCAAAAGAATATGCCAACCTCTTGTTTTCACTGTTTTGCCTTGTATGGTATCATTTTTGCTTTCTATTTATTTTGTAAAAAACAAATAAATTAGTTGGGCAAACATCTCCAAAAATTGTTTGTGGGATGGAATGGGAACCCGCTAAAACACCAAAAGTTACTCCTTCAATTTCAGAAAATATTTTTGCATTAAAATAAAAAGAAACGAAAATTTTAGTGTTTTTTAACCTTTTATTGTAACTCACCAAACAGGCAGACCACATCACCACAACAATACAACTTATGCCCTTGATTGGTGGTGATAATGATATTGTGCCCACAAAAGGTAAAACATTAAAAATTTAAAGGAGAAAGTAAATAAAAATACAAAGCCCAAGCAGCCATCATCAAAGAAGTCATAATAGAATTGTGGAACCACTCCAGCTTTTTGTGTTGTCCAACCTTATTTTCCACCCAATCGAATCAAACATTGGTCGCAAAACAAATCATACAAATAATACCATACATGTCTTTCCAGGGCAATAATGTCCAGTCCATTCTCATTGCATGTGGGTATGAATGTGATTGACATAAAGCAATTCTCCTAATATATGATGAAACTTTTGAATGGTACACCCCATTCATCAACCACGACCCCATTTTTTGTCAATAAAAAATCAAACGTAAAAGGATGACAACCCATTTGTTTACATTTCAACATTCATCTCTTTCACTTCAACCAAACTAAAATTCAACACAATATACACCAACCAAATTAAAAACCAAAAAAACAAAAACAAAAACAAAAACAAAAACAAATTGTCTCTTTTGGGTTCTACAAAATATCTAATGCAATAAAACAAAAACTAACAGTCCAAAACACACAATTCTTCCACAAAAGACGCAATTTTTAGAGGCTAGAATAGAACCTCACTCAAAATCTTCATTTTCTTGTATCCAATACACTCTTCCTCGCACAATTGTACGATTAAAAATGCATCAGAATATAAGAGTAAGATTTTGAATACCCCATTAACCATATTATATATAGAAGAAATTGTAAATTAGTAGAAATAAAAAAAAGTAATTGCAAAATTATAGAAGTACTCGTGAAAACTATGATCTGACTTACACCAGAACACATACCCCACTCGTTCCTCTATATTTTTACAATTATTTTTACTTATTCTAACTAATTTGCAATTCTCTTGTATATATACAACAAAAGGGTGATCTAGTAAATTTTTTTTTTTTTTTTTTTTTTTTTGGGGGGGTGATATTTATTTAAGTATGACGATCACATGACAGCACATGCAGCAGGGTTTTCATCACTGAAAGCAGTGGTGTAGCGAACTTCAGTAGAGCTGGCACGTGCGAGCTGATTGACACGTGGGTCCTCAGAATATCGCACGTACCCAGCTGGTGCTTTCCTGTCGTACACCCCAGGTGCATAAGGGTGTTCCACCGCATCGTAGGGTACGTAAGGCCAGATCTCGGCCCTCTTACCCGTCCGATGAGCCACGCGGGCCACCACCTTGTCGGGGTCCACATATCCGGCGACTGTCAGCCTGTGCTGTTTTCGGTCCACGTCCACCGACTGTACACCTTTCATTCCCTCCACCGCTCTCTTCACTTTCCTCTCGCATCCTTCGCAGTCCATCTTCACCCTTATCTCCACCGTCTGATCACACATCACCAGACAGATGATGAAAAAAATAAAATCATATATATACATCTTATCTGGTTTCATTTTTAAAATCAATAACTTGTTTTTAAAAATTAAATTGATAAAAAATAAAAAACACTAATTATTTTATATAATTTTCTATTTTTTAACTATTGAAAATTTAAGAACATTTTTTAATGTTTATTTCCTACAAAATAATTTCTATTTTTTCAAAAAAAAAAAAACAAAATTTTAAAAGAAACCAATAAAGGCAGGGGTGCTCGTGAATCGATATTTGACAATTTAATTTGCGGTTTGTACCTGTCCACAAGTTTGCAATTTAAGAAAAATTGAACCCGCAACTATCCACAGTACGGGTTACAATTTGTACAGATAGGGTTCGTGAATATACGAGCGGTTGCGGACGATTTACAGATTAAACTTTTTCCGTTAAAAATCATTCACTGTCTAGTACCTAACAATACAATTAAAATCATTTAAAATCCTAAACTTAACTAAAAATAATTCGTCATTAACTTTTACACTCATCCAAAATCAAAATGTAATAATAATAATTAGTTGGGAACTAAAATAAATTGTTGTCAAATTTCATCTAAATCCAAACCCCTTAAAGAAAATAAAATAAAAATATTTACAAACTCATAAACTCCATAAAAAATGAAAATTATATCATTTATTTAATTTTCAATCTATGATAGGGTTTCTATACTCTAAGAATTTTTTTTAGGAGAAAACAAAAAGAGTTTATATCTCTGTTTTGTGGTTTAGAAAACAAAGAAAATAATTTTTGACTCAAACTTTGAAGCTTGTCTATAAACAACAAAAAAAAACTCAAATGCTGAGAAGGATAAAAAACTTGCTACCAACGTTATCTGTACTTTCTACAGACTAAAAAAAATCAGACGGTCCAGATTTTCAAAAAAATATAAAAAGATGTGACGGATGAGTGCAGGTGAGGGTAAAAACCCGCGACCCGCCAGCAATTCACACAATAGGAAAGTCCTAACATGCATCCGACTCTAACACTTCTGCAAAACCGTCCAAATAAATGCAGGCAATTTGGATTGGGCAAAACCGTCCAAATAAATGCAGGCAATTTGGATTGGGCAATTTTCTTGAATCAGATAAGCCTATGTGTAGTCCTAAGTAAAGGTGACAATAGTCGCAATTTTTAAATCAAAAATAAAATATAAACAACAAAATGCTACTAATCTAGGATGCCTGTAAGGGCAGATTTTCCTTCCATTGCTCCGTTTTACTTAAAACTTTATTTTTTTTGGAATAAATCCGTTTTACTTAACTTTTATCACAATTATACAGATTAAATTTAATTTTTTAAATATAATAAAGAATAAAATATCAAAATTTTGTTTGAGATGTTCTAAATAAGTACACTTTTTGACTTTTTATAAAAAGATGTGTAGAAAAATAGAGAACAGATGTTGATTGATGTGACTAAAAAAAAATAAAAAAAAATAAAAAATGTGGACTTATTTTAGTCTTTCCAAACTAGGCCTAAATCTCCCATCTTCCATCAAGTAAACTTTTATAATTTATTAATTATTTTTCGTAATATATCATATTATTTTTTATTTTTATTAATATATATTTTTTTTAAAATTACAAAATTAACCCAACTCACCACCTCATAAATTCCACTACCATGATACGAATCAAAATAGGAGGCGTAATGGAATGACAAAATTACCCAAAATCTGATTATATTTTACCCAACCTAATTATAAAAAACAGAAGAAGAAAAAATTGAAAGAGTATTAATAATGTAGGATCTAGAGTGAATGAATAGGTCAAAACGGACAAAATGAGAAAAAAATAGAAAATTGTTGAATTTGAAATCAAAAAATGGACACGACATCTCAACCAATTGCCATCCTTACACGGATACTACAAACCCATCCTGGAACCCGCTCCATTACAATCTCTAACAACCCCATGGGCCTTTTACCAGCTAGACTAGATATTACTATCCTCGAATTGTAAGTCATGTGGGACCAGATAGCATGTGGTGCATGCACATCCTAAAAGAATGGGCCACTTAAGATAAGTATTTCATTTGAAAATTAATTATTTTAATTAATTTTTCGATATTTTATTTAAAAAAATTAAAAAATAATGTGATAATTTATAATAAATTTCTAACATTTTAATTATTTTAATTTGTTGACAAACGACAACCACTTGGATTACGTGAGCAAGCAGAAGTGGCGAAAAGCTAGTAGTAGGTCTAGGTCGGTAACATTTTAACAATGTAGAGGCATTTACAGGGAATGATTACTCTGTAATGTATAATAACAAACAAAACATCACATCCAACCCATAATCATTACATTCTTCTCTCACAAAAAAACTCAAAAAAGCCAAAAAGCCAAAAAGTCCTTCCCAAACCAAGCTTTTAAGCCCAGGCTAAAATAGCCAAAAAAATCAAAAAGCCAAAAAGTCAACCCACTTCCCAAACCAAGCCTAACAATATAGAGGCATTTACAGGGAATGATTACTCTGTAATGTATATCCCATCCAAATCCAATCCAAGTAGGATGATGAGAGGAAAGACTGTTCAGGATCCCGACAAAAGGTTTGGCCCACCAACCCAAACGACAAAAACCCGCGGCCAATGGTTTATTCTGGAAGATCCCGCCAGGTGGACGGTCCTGATACCAACCCAGAAAAACCAAAGATTCTACCCACTTTATTTTATTTTGAATTTTTAAAAACTGTTTCTTCATTTTTTATCAGTATTTTTTATTTTTAATGTTTTAATTAATTAAAATATTTGTGAATTGATTTTTTTATAATTTTTTGATATTTTATAAAAAAAATATAAAATATAAAATATAAAATAAAAAATTGACAATTTATAGTGATTTTTTAATTTTTTTAATTAAAAAATTATATTTTTACAAATAGATACACTTAAAAATATAAAATTTCATTGTATGTAATGAATTTTTTTTAACTTTTCATGCTATAAATTTTATGCCTTTAAAGTGTATATAAATTAAGTAAATTTATAAATTAAAAAATTAAAAAGATTCATTAAAAAAAAAACGAAGTCAAAACTAGCAAACTTTTGAAAATGCTAAATCAACAAGTATATTGATTACTGAAATGACTACAATGCCCATGACCGACACCATTATCAGCAGTTCATGTTGTTTCATCACACAGAACCGGTGGCACAGCCGGGTCACCATGGTAGGTAGCACGGTGGTTGATCTCAGCCCGGCCGGTCCGTACTCTACTCTAATCGGCCGAACACCAAAGTGTATATAAAAAGGGGAAATTTTCATGACACAGTATTTGTAAAAATTAATTACAAATACATGAAAAAAATTATGATTTTGCTTTTTAATATTTGTGAAGTTCACTACTAATCTGAAAATATTTTTCTAAATATACACTGATTTAAAGAGATCTATGTTCGTCAGATCTGACCCAAAAAGTGTCAGAATCTATTAGGAAGTTGGATTCAAACTACTATTTCCAAAAATTGAAAACACAAACTCAACAGATCTAACAAATTTAAAAATAATTTGCAATACAGTGATGTATATACGAGAGGTAGAATACAAAAACAACAATGAAATTAAACCAAAAAAAAAAAAATTGAATTGAAACTTTTGTATATGTACCTGCAATGGTCTGCGTTTTTTGAAACTGTGACTGCGACCATGACCAGAGCAATCGAACATATCGGAGATATGATCAAGAACTCCCATCTCGACTCACTCTACAAACAAGTTGTTGAAGAAAGAGAAAAACACAAAGCTCGGAGCAAAGTTGAATTTCTTCGATTTAACGATTAAGAATGATGATACACTCCTTTTGTAGCTGCTATTGAGGAAAAGGGCATTACTACTATTTATATAAACATTTTCTCTCTCTTAGTAGTCTTTTACGCTATGTTTGGATTGAGTGATTTGGAGAAAAAAAAAAAAAAAGAAATGGAACGGTATATATTTTTTTTATTTGTTTGGATAATTTAAATAGAGAGAAATGGAAGAAATGAAGAGAAATGGAGAGAAGCTCATTTCTCTTATAAGCCTCATTTTTAATTTTTTCAAAAGTGGAGAGATTGGGAGAGAAAAGAAATCACTATTTTCATAATACCAATTTTGTCCCTATAAAAATAAAAGAAATAAAATAATTGAAAATATAAAAAGATTATTTTGGTAATGTAACATAAAATAATTTCTTTTTTTTTTCTCTTAATGAAACTTAACCAAACAAAAATGAGAGAAATCACAATCATTTCTTTTCTTTTATTTCTTCTTTATCCAAACAGAAAGAAAAAAACATCACAATTATTTTTTTTCTTTTTTTTTTCTCTTATTACTTAAATAATTATTTCTTTTATTTTCTTTCCTAAGTTCTCAATCTGGATCGTCAGATTATGTGCTGCTTATGAGCTGTTTTCCGCCACGCGTTTGCGCTCGCCGAGATATTCATGTTTGAATTTAATATTTTACAAATTATATTTTTTATTTTTAATAAATATTTTTAAATTTTTAAGTAATTTTTTTTTATTTTTGTAGATATATCTTATTTAAATTTATTTAAAAAATAAAATATTTGTAAAAAAGTATTTTAAAAAATTCATAAATATATAAAAATATGAAAAATGTATTGATTTTTTTTTATATTTTTAATATTTAATGAATTTTCTAAAATTCTTTTTTATAAATTTTATATTTTTTAAATATGTTTATATTAGGTATATTTAAAAAAATTTAGAAATAATTTGTTTAAAATATTAAAAAAATCTAACAAAAATAAGAAAAATAAGAAATTTTAATTTTTTAAGAGGTGGATCTTGAGTTAACAAATCAAAGCCGACAGGAGCAGGAGAGTGTTTACACCATGTGGGCCAGAATCCATTCGAAAATATGTGACATTTTATATGTACCACCTTTCTTAGGTGTGCCTTGTATATGATATGTAAGATATTTATACATTTTTTATTTTGTATTTATATTTTTTTATGTATTGAGTTATATCAAAATATTTAAAATTTACACATTGGTGACTTGTTCCAAATAAATTAATCAAATAATATATTATATGACTAAAGGTGCAAATTGTCACAAAAGGTGTAAATAATTTCACAAAAGCGTAAATTTTCACAAAAGGCGTAAGTAATTTTAGAAAAAAAATGTAATTGATTTTTTAAAACTTACATCATTTGGGAAAACTTACGTCTTTTGTGAAAACTTACACTTTTTTTGAAAACTTATATTTTTTTGTGAAATTACTTACACCTTTTCTAAGAACTTATGTTTCTTTTATGAAATTACTTACACATTTTCTGAAAACTTACGCCATTTGAGAAATTACTTACACCTTTTGTAAATACTTACTCATTTTGTGAAAAAGTTACACCATATGTTACAAATTTTCATATGGTTAAACGTATAGCTTTTTTGAAATGTTACTTTTTTTGTGAAATAATTTGTTACATAAAATTTACACATTTTATTGAAACTTACACCTTATGTGAAAACGAAATTTACACATTTTGTGAAATAACTTACACTATTTCTGAAAAGTTACACATTTTGTGAAATAATTTCTTTCATAAAATTTACACATTTTGTAAAAACTTACATGTTTTCTGAAAACTTAAACATTTTCGTGAAAATATTTACACCTTTTTTGAAACGTTACTCCTTTTGTGAAATAATTTTTTTCATAAAATTTACACCTTTTGTAAAAACCAAACTTAAACTTTTTGTGAAGTCACTTACATCTTTTGTGAAAAAAGTTATACTATTTCTGAAAAGTTACATCTTTTGTGTAATAATTTCTTTCATAAAATTTACACTTTTTGCTAAAACTTACACATTTTTTGAAAATTTACACTTTTTCGTGAAAATACTTACACATTTTCTGAAAAGTTACTCCTTTTGTGAAATAATTTTTTTCAAAAAATTTACATTTTTTTTTTGGACTTACACCTTTTGTGAAAACCAAACTTAAACTTTTTCTAAAGTCACTTACATCTTTTGTGAAATAACTTACAGTAATTCTGAAAAGTTACACCTTTTGTGGAAAAAAAAAATCATAAAATTTACATTTTTTGCTAAAACTTACACCTTTTCGTGGAAGTATTTACATCTTTTTTGAAAAATTGCTCCGTTTGTGAAATAAGTTTCAACAAAAGGTGTAAATTTTATGAAAAAAATAATTTCACAAATGGAGTAACTTTTCAGAAAAGATGTAAGTACTTCCACAAAAAGGTGTAAATTTTCAAAAAAATGTGTAAGTTTTAGCAAAAGGTGTAAATTTTATAAAAGAAATTATTTCACAAAAGGCGTAACTTTTCAGAATTAGTGTAAGTTATTTCACAAACAATGTAAATGACTTCACAAAAAGTGTAAGTTTCGTTTTTACAAAAAGTGTAAGTTCCAATAAAATATGTAAATTTTATAAAAAAAAATTATTTCGCAAAAGGAGTAGCTTTTCAAAAACGGTGTAAGTATTTTCCCGAAAAGGTGTAAGTTTTAGCAAAAGGTGTAAATTTTATGAAATTTTTTTTTTCCACAAAAGGCGTAACTTTTCAAAATTAACGTAAGTTATTTCACAAAAGATGTAAGTGACATCACAAAAGGTTTAAGTTTGGTTTTCACAAAAGGTGAAAGTTCCAAAAAAAAATGTAAATTTTATGAAAAAAATTATTTCACAGAAGGAGTAACTTTTCAGAAAATGCGTAAGTATTTCCATGAAAATGTGTAAATTTTTAGAAAATGTGTAAGTTTTAGCAAAAGGTATAAATTTTATGAAAGAAATTATTTCACAAAAGATGTAACTTTTCAGAAATAGTGTAAGTTTTTTCACAATAGATATAAGTGACTTCACAAAATGTAAGTTTCGTTTTCACAAAAGGTATAAATTTTATGAAAAAAATTATTTCACAAAAGGAGTAACATTTCAAAAAAGGTATAAGTATTTTCACAAAAAAGTGTAAGTTTTAGCCAAAAGGTGTAAATTTTATGAAAGAAATTGTTACACAAAAGATGTAACTTTTCAGAAATAGTGTAAGTTTTTTCACAAAAGATGTAAGTGACTTCGCAAAAGATGTAAGTTTCGTTTTCACAAAAGATGTAAATTCCAATAAAAGGTATAAATTTTATGAAAAAAATTATTTCACAAAAAGAGTAACATTTCAAAGTGTTCATAAACAAATTGGGACAACCACTAAACAGTTTCCACCAACCTTTTCTCTGTTCTGTCTCTCTTACACACATACACACAGAGAATAGTTACCACCAAACCTTACCTCCACTCACCACCCAACCATCGCTGGCCGCAGTTGCACGCCACCGTCGCACATCGCCACTGTCGCAAATCACCACCGCTGCTACTGCAAGTAATTTTTTTTTTCTCTCTCTTTCTGTGTCAATCTTGGTCTCTCTCCGTCGATCTCTGTCTCTTCTCTGTCGATCTTGGTCTCTCTCTGTCGATCTCAGTCTCTCTCTCTCTCTGCCGATCTCTCTCCGTCGATCTCCGTCGATCGTGGTCTCTCTCTCTCTGCCGATCTCTCTATCGATCCCTGTCTATCTCAATCTCTGTCTCTGTTAATCTCGGTCTCTTTCTCTCTCTCCCTTCTTCTATATTAAAAATAGGTTATCTTTTACATTGAGATACTTGGTTGGATTTGGACTTGGACTGGTTAATCTAAGCCTATCTTACTGTCATTACAAACCCCTAAGATCTTATAGCAATTTACCACTAACATTTCGCCAATCCAAATGATAAAATTCCTGGAAGATCTTTCTGGTGCAGTTATAGGGTTAAATTAACCACGGAGACCTTTTAAAAAGAAAAGAAAAGTTTGTTCCCAACGCTCAAGGCTCCCGCTTATTGTAGGTTTTGGAAGAGGTAGTAGGCAGACAACCTTCCCCCCCACCTTTTACAATGTATAATTTACTCTCTTAATTATAATAATCCCAAAAATTGTCATCTTATCTCAGTTCATGACATGCTTAATTCGGTTAGTTTCTATTTTGTACACAATGTGCAGGCATGAGTCAAAGTTTATCCAAATAATTGTTCAGGAGATTTTGAGTAAATTGGATTTCATGGTCTTAAGCGTTACCCCCTATCAAACTGGAATAGATTCTCATGTAAAAGACATTAATCCGTGGTTCCAAGGTGGGTTGAACAATGTCAGCGTAATGGTGATCTATGGGATGGGTGGAATAGGGAAGACAGCCATTGCAAAAATTGTTTATAACTAAAACTTCGACAAATTTGAAGGTAGCAGTTTTCTTGCAAATATTAGAGAAACTGCAAAACAACCTAGTGGTTTGGTTTGTTTGCAAAGACAGCTTGTTTCAGATATTCTGAAGTGAAATAAGGAAAGAATACACTGTGTTGCTGAGGGAATCAATAAGTTTAAAGATGCTATGTGCTATAAAAGAGTTCTAGTTGTTCTTGATAATGTTGATGATTTGGACCAAGTAAATGCATTATTGGGGATACGAGATTGGGTTCAACCAGGAAGTAAGATTATGATATCTACTAGACATGTGCAATTGCTAAAGGCTGATGAAGTGTACAAGTCGTATGTGGTTAAGGAATTGAATGATGATGAAGCACTCCGTCTCTTCAGCTGGCATGCCTTTGGACAAGACAAACCTATTGAAGCTTACATGAAGCACTCAAAAAGGGTAATACACCACTGTGGTGGCGTTCCGCTAGCTTTGGAAGTCTTGGGCTCTTCTTTGTCTGGTGAAACTATTGATGTGGAGAGAAAGTGCATTAGCAAAATTAAGAACACTTTTTCCCGAGAAAATTCATAATGTTCTTAAAATGAGTTATGATTCTTTAGATGATCATGAGAAAAATTTATTCCTTGATATTTGCTTGTTTCTTTGTTGGAAAGGACAAGGATTACATAGTTAAAATATTAGAGAAATATGATTTCTCCATAACAATTGGTATTCAAAATCTCACTCATAGAGGTCTCATAGAAGTTAATAAAGATAACAACAAGCTGTTAATGCACTAAGTGCTTAGAGACATGGGTAGGGAAATTGTTCGCCGAGAATCACAAAAGGAACCTGGAAAGTGTAGCAGAGTGTGGTGTCATAAGGATGCCTTCAATGTGTTGAGGGATAAAACTGTAAGAATTATGCTTCTCTCTCTCTCTCTCTCTCTTCATTGTAGTGACTACTTTTCTAACTTTTCTTTATCAGGGAACAACAACAATTGAAGGCCTTAGCCTCAACTTAAAAGATATGCCAGCCAAGATTGCAAGCGGTGCACAATCCCAAAATGAAGATTTTGTTGCAGAACATACAATGTTTAACGAAGGCAATTCATTGAAGCGACGTCGCCGTGGCTTATTCTCTTTTCTCCGTGTTATTCCTACCTTCATAGAATCATTTTTAGAATCAGATGAAGATGATTTGAAAACTGATGCATGTTCACAGATGCACACTTCAAGACTACTTCAGCTTAATAATGTAAGACTTAGTGGCGAATATCAAAAATTTCCTAAGAAGTTAAGATGGTTGTGTTGGCATGGATTCTCTTTAAAATCTATACCAAATGATTTTACTTTGGATAGCCTATTTGCCCTTGAAATGCAAAATAGTAGCTTGGAACAAGTCTGGAAGAGAACCAAGGTATGATTCAATTTTTTTTAATCCTGTTTTCTATTGATTTTATTTTATTTTATTTTTTGGGATCCATATGAATTCTTGTAGTGACCGATTTCTTACTTTTTTCTGACAATTGCTCAGATCATTGAAAATCCTTGATCTCAGTTATTTCTATAGCCTTACCAATTCCCCTGACTTCTCACAGCTCTCCAATCTTGAGAGATTGATCCTTAAATATTGCATAAATTTGGTTGGGATTCACGAATCAATTGGGGAATTAGGGACCCTTGTTTTGTTGAATCTTGAAGGCTGTAAAAATCTAAGGAAGCTTCCAAAGAAAGTTTTTTTGGTCAAATCCCTTGAAATCATTCTTAGTGGATGCTCAATGCTGGATGGGCTGCCCCCTGACCTGGGCAAGATGGAATCGTTCAAAGTGCTTCATGCAGATGGAACAAGTTGATTACTCACTTGATCATTAGATGGTTTAAACTGCGGTATGAACTTTATTGGCCTTCTTCATGATATTGGTTAGGAAACATGCATCATGTGAACTGCAAATAATGTTGTCATGCTATCTTGGGGGGCTCTTGGTATTCTATGCTTGTTGCAAGATTTGAATCTAAACGGTTGAGTTGGAATCCATGCCTAACATGGTCTATATATGGAAGTGAAACATTATTGCAGCCAAGTGGTTGAGGCTATTTTTCAACTTAATTGTAGACATGCACTGAAATTATAAAAAATTCACTTTGGCTGAGTTGGAATCCACGGCAATAATTGCATTGGAACTGTTCAGTGAAGTAACATGTATAAAAAGAAAGCTCTAGTAAGTGCTCTCTCTCTCTCTCATTATGTTGTCTGCGTTCAGTTAGTAGTTAAAGTTGTCAATTCCATTGCAGAGGAACTGTATCAATGTGATATTTAAGCATATTTCTTCCCAAGGTGAGATTCCCAACTGGTTAGCAAGAAGAGTAGGGAATCTTCAATGCCTTTTACTGTTCCTTCACTGCTAATCTAAATGTATGTGTGTTCTATGTGCAGGTCATGTGAACTGAGGATGTGAACATTCATAGGAAAGATTTTGAATCAGTTAATGGAAGATGATGATGAAGTGGATGTCTCAGTGGATGCAGGAGAAGCTTTTCGGGTAAAGGAACTTGGAATTCGTGTTCTTATGTGAGCCTAAAAAGCAATGGCAGCCAACACCACAGCAATGATTCTTGTCACCAGAATGTCATTGATTTTATCAGCATATCAGATGAGGACAGGGAACTATTTCTTATGCAATCACAATTGATTTCATAGGGTTAGACTCTATTTCAGGATTTTAAGTGTAATGAAAAGTTTAGTTAGTTGTCTTCCTTCAAAATATATGCCAGGCTTTTACACTTGCTGCAGAACTATGGGCGTAATGGAAGTGTCAAACATTAGCATGAGAGGAAGGTTTTGGATTGGTGATTTTGAGATATCCGTCTACTATGGTGAGCAAACAAGAAAATTCTTTTTCATTTTTGAGGACATTTCGACCCGCGCATAGATCCTTTTTCAACTCCTTTGAAGAAAGGTATGTATTCCTAGCCATATTGGGGCATATTATGATCTTGTTTTGAGAGTGAAGAATAGAATTTTCAATGTTTGATTCATTAATATTTATTTGTTTGTATTTATTTGGTTGTTATATTCCATCTACTAGTTATTTATTTGTTTGTTTATTTGGTATGAACACACTACAGTTTAGTTTTTTGTTTATTTTGGTGAATAAGAAAAAGAAATGACAAAGAAAGCATCCGTGTTAAAGTAAAACCAATATTTTGGCAAAAATTTGAATTCAAATAAGTCAACTGAATTTGAATTGGTCAAAATTTTGATAAAGAGATTTTGCCCATAATCTTGTCCTAGAGAGCATCCGTCAGCTTCAGTCTCAGCCCAAGGTTTTAGGGCCTATGCCCTCTAGGCTTTCTAATTAGAGGAAGTGTAACAATCCCATTCCATATTGGAAGTTTGAATAGGTGATCTTGAATATATAAGTAGGATCGATGAATTCAACTAATATCATCATGACTAATTTTTTTAAGTGAGTTTTCTTGTTTGTTACCCGTTGCATGACAATGTGGGTTATTGTAACTAATTGGGATAGTTAGCTTGTTTCTAGTATATTGAGAGGTTTAACGTGGAACTTAGGCTGTTTGTAGGTTTAATTGTATGTGCAGGTGAAAGGTCAGGCTATCTAAATTTTCATATACATTACTTATTGTTGAGAGATGCTTTGACTTTTGGGTGCGGCCCTTTGGAGGTATTGAATGGGTTTAGACTTTTTTAGCAACATGTGGTTGTGGTGTGTGAGTTATTATGATTAGAAAAATTGCCCCCTCAAACTACCCCTCAACACAAACACGCACCCGCGCGCAGACACACACACAAAATACTAAAATAAATCTTGATATCAGATTTTGAGCCCGAATATACTCCCGTAATATATATATATATATATATATTTGTATATATTTTTTAGAAAATGGATTGTAATGCAATTATAGTTACTAGCTCCATCTGTGTTTAGCATGGTTTGAGTGCAGCCAGGGAGTGTTATGCGTGTACTTCATAGTTGGAGAGGGGGTCGGGTTGGGAAGAGGCATAGAAAGGCATGGAGGGTGTGGTCTGAACATGTCTATTGATCACTGCATGGGTGTATTTTTGATGATTGCCCCCTACTGTATTTGAGTTGTCACCTTTTTGTGATTGCAATTATGCAGCTTGATTTGTTGAAAAATGGTTATTGTAGGCTCAAGTATATATGTAACAAGGAAGGACTAAAGGCAAATTCCATTGCACTTGCTGCACTTGCAGAGTATACTGGTGTAGGGGTGTAACTCGGGCGGGCTCAACCCGAGCAACCCGAGCTGGGTTTAGACTTCTTTAGCAACATGTGGTTGTGGTGAGTGAGTTATTATGACTAGAAAAATTGCCCCCTCAAACCACCCCCCAACACACACACACACAAAATACTAAAATAAATCTTGATATCCGATTTTGAGCCCGAATATACTCCTGTAATATATATATCTATATATATTTGTATATATTTTAAAAAAAGTGGATTGTAATGCAATTATAGTTACTAGCTCCATCTATGTTTAGCATGGTTTGGGTGCAGCCAGGGAGTGTTGTGCGTGTACTTCATAGTTGGAGAGGCGGTCGGGTTGGGAAGAGGCATAGAAAGGCATGGAGGGTGTGGTCTAAACATGTCTATTGATCACTGCTTGGGTGTATTTTTAATGATTGTCCCCTACTGTATTTGAGCTGTCACCTTTTTTGTGATTGCAATTATGCAGCTTGATTTGTTGAAAAATGGTTATTGTAGGCTCAAGTATATATGTAACAAAGAAGGACTAAAGGCAAGTTCCATTGCACTTACTGCACTTGCAGAGTATACCGGTGAGTAATAGCTCCTCCAGAAAGGCGTATCAACCTTGTGAATAAATTTTTCTTCCCTCCTTGAAGGTTTCTTGAATAAAAAGGCTAGTAGTTATATAGAAAGATAACAAAAATAAGGAAGAAGCATTCAAATGGTAATTGACACTTAAAGAAAGAATACCATTCGGCGAAGATCGAGTCTTTCTCATGAAAACTTTGTTGGGCTTTTTCTTCATACATGTTTATTCTCTTGATTGATCTCCTGCAAACATAATTTGCATGGTTTATTGGTTCTTAGTTAGAGATCAGTTCTCAGATGGTTGGCCGGAAGGACACCTTAAAAAGTGTTTTTGACGTATGGACAGAGGTAAAACAATAATCTGTTAAACTATTTAATTTTCATTTTTGGCATTATCAATTTGCATATAAATTCCTTATTTTTATTACTATTACTATTTTTTTCTGAATAGATTTTTTAAAAGAGAAAAGTAAAACGAGAAAGGAAGACAGCTACTGGCTGCAACAGCATCTCCAATGAATTTGACTTTCTGCACTCCATGATTTCTAACCGGTAGGTTAAGAACTCCAGTTAAAACTTTCATTTTTTCTTTCATCATTTCTAGTGAAAGGTCATCTATCTTGACTGTTCAATGATTGCCAACTATCCAGCGATGACTACAATTTAATTTTAGATAGGATCCATGAAAATAGTTTGCAACTTCACTATCATGATCCAGTTATGCGAAAGACTGTAAGTCACAATTGCAATAAAAACCTTTTGTGCTATGAAATTTGATACGAACCCATAAACTAGCTTCCCCTTGACAAATAGGACTTGTGACAATTGATGGCATGTAATTCGGACCCGTAGGTTGGGAGTTAGAGCCGAATATGCCTTAAACTTAGTTGAAAGAGGGCATTCTGGGGGCGAAAATTCAAAACAACCCCCGAACCACCATGTGGCTCTCACAGACGACTTCCCCTTGACAAA